TATCTAAAGATGTCTAAGAAGTATTTTAACACAGACCTTTTCTTTCAGACTCTGAAGCAGGATGACATGCTCCCAGCAGCTGTACCCAGCACTGGCAGGAGTCAACACCTTCCGCAGCACTTCTGTTATCCATAACATTCCCCACTTCTATCCTGTTATCCCTAACATTTCCCTTCCCTTTGGGTTCAGTGTCAATGAACATACATTTCTCTCACTCACTTGACACCCAGCAGTTCAAAGAGCAGAGCAAGCAATGAAGGCAGACGAAGAAATAGTGCAGGGGAGCAGAGGGCAAAACCCGGCAGTGATGTCCGTGCCAGGTTACAGATCTGCTGTAACCTGCAGTGCCTCCTACTCCTCCCACAGCTCTTGCACCCTGCACAGCTTATCCTTCTCTCCTAGGTGTCCTGGGGATGCAGAAGCAATGCTGAGGCCTGAGCCCCTCTTGCTCTCCCCTCTGGTAAGGCTGAAGGTGCTTCTCTGCTGCCTGCAGATGAGGATGAAAGGGCTCTTGCCTTGTCTCACACGAGCAAGAGGAGAGAGAAATCTCAGGAAGAGGCTGCTGACCACCAAAACCATTACAATAGCACCTGCACACCTGCCTCTCTCAAGCAGCCCAGCATGAATTATTTCAAACACCCTTCCCTCTTCTCCTGAGAGCAGCTATGAAGGTAGAGTTTTGCTCAAACTCCTCCTGTCGGTCTTCTGCATATCCCACTACCAGAGAAAACAGTGACTCCAGATGAAGACCTCCAGAAAAAGGGATGACAAACCATATGGAGGCCCTACTGTAATAGAACAAAGACATCTACTTAAAAACTCAGGGCCTTAAATCCACTCCTGATAAAGATGCCTGGACTTTTGAGAGGCCCAGCAAGAACAGAGGCAAGCGCTCTCTGCCTCTTGTGTGTCTCAGCAGAAACCCTCTCTAGGACGAGAGTCACCCAACCATGTTACATGCACAGACCATCTTCCCCACTCCCAGGAGCAATTGAGATAGCTTGTGGTCTGATCCAAAGTCCTCAGGAAATCAGACAACCTTTTTCCTGTTGTATTGAACTGCAAAGGAGGTGTTTGGGGCAGCTGGAGGGTGAGAGCTTTGGCCTCCATTACTATTATTTCTGTAACGACAAGAAAGATAGAGAAATAAATTTTTTCATTGCATACTTGAGTTCTGAGGAAACCAACAGGAAGGGACAACCATCTTCCCAGAGTGACAAGCCATTCATTTTGACTTCGGGGGACTGATTTGAATGCTCTGAGTATACACAGACGTGGAAAATATCCTCTCCAGCTGCAGAAACTGCTACCAGGGTTTCTGTTTCTTGTGGTCTTTCTGATACATGCTACCTGCTGGAACTGCAGCTGTTTTGCTAGGGTTGTCACAGCAAGGCTACTCCCCATCAGGCAATGAGGAGCTGAGAAACACAGCCCTTGTACTTCCACACCGGATTAGCATTCGAGCAATGGAGAGAGAAATCAAGGAGCCTGTGACCTGAAATTACATTAAAGACAGGTCCTCTAAGAACGTGAACCTTGCCATAGATCATTTCTTGTGTCACCAGTTCCACAGACGGTAAAAGGATATAGCTACAATGAAGGACATACCCAGGGATCACTACCTAACACAGCTTATTCTTTAGCAATCCTGGTTAAGCAGCACAGCAAGGCTAAAGCTGAGCTGTACTTCTTGCATGCTCTCAAAGGTTTCTGCACCCCTTTACATGAAGAAGCTTGAGTAAGGGTACAGTCCCCTTTCCAACTTCTCAAGGAGAGAAGGGGAGTTCTCCCCTCCAATAGCCACAAACCGTGGGTTGAGCATCCACATGGACACCGGTCTGCCCAATATAGCCAACTATACGATTGAAGACAAGGTTTGTTCCTTACAGGTGCAGTAGAAAGAAAACAGCAAAATTAAACACATGCAATGCTTCAGGTCTTTATTGTTGCTGTAGAGTAACTGGTACATGGTTAAAACATTCTAATAATAATATCAGTGAAATCTGAAAACTAAGGCTTTCTGTAGGTTTGTAGTATCCTGGTGTTTCCTTTCACATAGTGCACATATAAAATCAAGTTATAAAAACACGGATCTTTTTTAAACAACACCGATTGATGCAATGCACAAAACTAAGAACTACATTTCATATGATCCAGACAACACCTTACAGACCAGCTTTGGGCCTTGCAGCTTTGAAGTCAAGAGACTTGGTCTGACATCCTGCTACCCAAATGAGCTTGACGGCACACATGGATGGCAGAATTTCAACCTTCTGTTCTGAGCAGAGAGAAAGAAACCCCTCGATGCTGAAGAGGAAACATTTCATTGAGCAAACGGGAGCAGCATCCTTAAAGCACGTCACTGATCTCAAATAATGTAAACAAGACCTACCCAGACCTGTAGGTCCCACAGACAGAGCAGTTGCTGCTCAGCAGTGCAGCTGCTGGGACTACAGGAGAAGGTGAGCTGTGACAAACCTGCCAATGAGTGAGACGAGTCTCGGTGCCAATACGTGTCCCATGAAAGAGGAGCGGGTGATTCCTGGAGTACTAGCACCTTTAATCTAACAGCACTGAAAACATTTCAAAGTGATTTACCCAGCACAGAATCATAGAATAATTTAGGTGAGAAAAGACCTTTAAGACACTCGAGTCCAACCATAAACCCAGAACTGCCAAGACTGACACTAAACCATGTCTCTAACTGCCATCTTAGTGTTCTTTAAATAGGAAAACAGGGTAGGAACAAAGAAGCCTCCAAGAAATCTGTATATTAGAATCTTTTCAGTAAAAAGCTACATTTCGACCAAAGAGAAAAAAAACATTCAGAGAACAATCTTCTCTCAGTTCCTTAACCACCTTTTAAACACAGAAGCTTCTATATCCACAAAGCTTTTAGTTTTCATTCAGTTTTTCCCCATCTTGCATTTCTAATTGAGCTGAAAAATGATGCACAGAATCTGAAAATTTACATGAGACACAAAGCCAACACCTCCCCTGGGAGAGGAGGATTCTTCACTGACCACTTACTCCACATCGTGGAGTTGGGCATTGCAAAACTGACATTAGCAGCTGACAAGAATATTATTCTTTCTCTTTGATCCGAACACATGAGAGAGGAGGATGAATTACAGATTTGCAGGATGTTTTTACCACATTACAATAGGTTACGTGTTTGGCTCCAGCTGGGAGAAAACCCCTTGTAAGGGTCGATGATGGATTGCATTTGACTTCACTTTCAGAGCCCAACTTTAATCACACACAGATGTAAATCCTTTACCGCTCCATGACCAAGACTCACACTGATGCTTCTGATACATTTGATGACACCACAAAGTTCTCTGAACGACTGAGAAAAACACAGCTGGTATTTACGTCACCAACACATAGAACCTGTTTTTTGAATTCACTCCTGAAGATGATGTTAAGGCTATTGGAGTAGGCTGGCCATGGTTACTCCTGGCATGAAAGCACTTTGTCCTAAGCCGTGGCTTAGGACAGACTAGAAGAAGCCTTTTAGGTCTCCTCTGCATTAACCATAAATGCGGTTTTTAGGTTTTCCCTTGCAGTGGATTACCTGAATGTGCAGGGAACTGCACCAAAGCAGAGCATTAGGTGAAGAAAAACCAGGCTATGTAGATTTAAGCTGCAGCCATGCCTGTGATATTACAGAATTGTGTTAAAAAAAGACCTCGAGGTGCAGAAATTACCTCCTTCCACTCATGACAATGAAACACCAGTTGTCAGTCGTCAGGTACTCAAATACAAATATGAAAACATCATTAAGAAACATAACCCTAAATATAAACCTAGTTTTATTTTTTTATTTTTAAGAAAAAAGGGATTAAAAAAATTGGAGTAAACCAGATGGCTTCAAGTACTTTCCGCATAATAAACAATTAGTTATTATAAGCATAGATTAAAAAAGACTTGTCACCTTGCAAGGGACAGTTGAATAGAGGCTGGTGATTTGTTAAAAAAATGGTCTTTGAAACAAACACATAAGACAACATGCTTAGAGTCGTAATTTAAAAGCGAACAGGTGTGTCCACCATGCCAACCCAACGCTTGAGACACCCAGCACAGCACAAGATATATTTTGCACTCTGTACTTTCACATTTCATGGCAATGCCACTCAACACACGGAGCCAGGCCATCTCAGTCTAGCTCAAACAAGCCATCATGCAATAAACACAAATATTTAGTAAGTCAGGAAGGTTTTGCAGCATTAGAATTGATCAAGTTGTTTAAAATTTTTGAGGTTGCAGAACAATCTATCCTGAAGACCTGAACTGTCTCCTAAGTGCTGGCAATGTTTTTGTCTTTTTCTGTGTGAATATAGCATTACTTTTACTGTATATGACAAGGAATACACTTGAAAGTGCCTTGTCTAAGCTTAAGCCTTCAGATTTTCTGAATGTCATGAAAAAAGTGAACGTGTTATAGTGGAAACCCCAAGAGAACCTCCCAAAAATTGTGAAGGAGGTTAAAAAGGTAATGATGTCATCAAGAAATCAAAGCCAATACAGCTTGATAAGTGCTGTGATAAGTCTAAAACCCAAACCCGTCTCTTGTACCAATGCATCATATGCATTTCAACAGGTCTGTCTGACATGCATGGAACAAGCAGTCTTCCTGCTTATCTATATGGACACATGAAATGCCAAAGGAAGCAATGTGAAAACCAAAATTAATGCTTAAAAAAGATATCTTGCCTACTCTGAAAATTAACTAAAATGTTTTCAATCCAAGAATGTCTACAAGGAAACTGTTTTGAAAAACATTTTCCAGCTATTTGGAGACAGACACTTACTTTTGCCACTGTGAGAAAAAACCACCACTAAACCAACAAAAAACCCCAGTTCCCCTGTTCCACAGCTCTGCATACTACAGTGGGAACAACTCTCCCACAGCTAACAGGGAGACTGAAACAGTATGAAACAGTGAGAAATCAAAACTTAGCTGCACAGGTCTATTAAATAATTAGCAAAGACTTAAATGGAGGCAGAGCCAGCACTGTTCTCTGCACTATGACACAAGACTGCAAGGCTTAAAAAACCCTCTGAGTGACCAAGCCAGAATGGTTGAACAGTGGTAGGTTCAGTAGTGTTTGAAAAAGCTTATGCAAAAATATTATTTTAAAATAAGTTTGAGTATTTGAAATATAAAAAAGAAACAGAACAACTTCTTCTCCAACTTCCACCTACCATCAAAACATCACTAAACTTACCAGCTTTCCAAATCCGACGCTTACTTCACAACAATGTGATTATACAGAAATCATACATCTGTCTCTCTTAGCTGAACAGTTTGGGTTTCTACATGAAAGTCCAGTGCATGTCACATTTATTACCATCTTTATGATTGTTCAATAATCCAGCAATTTGTTTCTTAATGACAGCAGAATGCAGATGCTAGCTGCTTGCAAGAGCAATGCTGAAATTACATTCAGAGATTAAAAAACTACCATTTTCACATGTAGGAATAACTAACATTTTTCTTTCTCTTCACAGAATCATGTGCAAATGTCTAACAATGGCGATAGTAAAAGACAATTCTCATGCAAAAATTGTTCCCTGTGCATAAAATTCGCAGGGCATCTCAACCCCCCCCCCTTTCTCTACGCCAGAACTAATTGTTTTTTATTTTCGTGTCGTGAAATTTCTGTTGCTTTTTAAAATATCGATGACAAGCGAGTTCAATTAGTTCCAGCCCACCAAATATCTTTTGCTGCACAACAAAAAAGATGACCATGGCTGCAAAATACAACTGAGCAAAGGTGTACAGGTACAGCAGTGAGAGCATACCAAGCGGGAACACCGTCCAGTACAGGAGTGAGATGCACTTCACCGCGAAGACCCTGAGCTCGGATTTACAGGGGGGAACAATGCCTTGCCCTGTTGCACTGAAGCATTTTCCACCTTCATAGAAGTGTCGGAGTCTCTCCTCTTTCTCTTCCCAACGCTTCCGGCACCAAAGCTGCAGCTCCTCCTTAGAAGTGGGCACTGTCTCTATTGGATATCTCTGGACGTGGAAGTGAATCTCCTTCGGGAAGTTTCCATTCAAAAGGTGCTTCTCTGTCTGAGGAATGTTTTGGGGGTATGCCACAGTTATGTCATGGATAGCATCGAGATTGTCACCTAGAAGAAAGGTTTGTGGGAAAAAAGATCAATACAGATCATGCAATGGTCAGAACACTAATTTGCTTCAAGGTGTGATTGAAAACTGTCCAAATTGTGGCAGAAACCCCAGAGATACGTTAGCTATGCAGAGGATGTTTAATCTGCTAGAATCTTTAAAGGCTGAAAGGTCAAACTTTTTCCAACCATTATCTTTTCAGAAACTGAACAAAAAACTTTGTGAACAAGATTATACACAGTACAAACTAACGCAGAATAACAACAGTGAGTAAGAGATTAAAGTCAAATTTAAAGGAGAGAAGGCGCACATCTGGTCTTGGATAAAGAGCACAGTATGTGAGTCTAATGTTCAGTTATTCCTAGCTGTGCTGCGCGCTGAAATTGCTTTTCACTAATGAAATACAACTTAGTCTATGTTCCTGTGAACACTGAAATAGATTCAGGTTGATCTGGAGCAAGCAGCATTCACTATCCTAATTCACTGAAGACTGAGAAAACATAAGTGAAACATATACCAGCCAAATATCATGAACTCATTAAATCTAGGGTATCTCACAAAGGATGAGGAGTAGCTGTGCAGCTCAGCCAGCTTTGCAGAGCACTCCAGTTAACACAATTTCTTTATACCTGAGCAGCCCGTACTGTAAGGAGGGGAGCTGCTGTTCGCTGCGCTCCACATCTGGGAAAGACAAAGTGCAGCCTAAGTGGGGGTTGAAGCCCAGCATTAAGTAAACCACATACAGTTAGCTGTTAGGGTAAAGTGAGTGTAGTTAACCATTTAAAAGGCAATTGCAGATTAGAAATTCAGGGGAATATTGATGAACAAAACCCTGCTCTTCATTAGCATGTCTGATTGAGCCAATGCTCTTGAAAGGATATCAGTATTGCCAAAGTGGGGCTTGCTAGTGCGTCTTTGTACTAAGTATTTTTATATTTTGCACTTCCTAAATACCTTCTTTATGCCCCGGCCCCTGACCAGACATTCTTTTCAGATTTCATAAAGTAAATTCTCCTAGTGTAAAACTGATCTAAAAATAGGCATGTGGTGCACTGGACGTTGCATAACTGTTAAGTTCTGCCAGCAGTGATTTATGTTGCTGTTTTTATTTGGCTGGCTGGCTGAGGGCAAAATAGAATTGGAGACTAAAAGCTGTCTCCAGTTGCAGCAACTGAAGACTTTTGTTCTCACAGATGATGCCACTTCTTGCAAAGATGATCAAAACCTACTGTTTAGCCCCATTCTTCGTTTTTATTTGCTCCCCTTCCCCTGGCATTTTGGCTCTCCTTTAGAGCTCTAAAAATGACAGGGCAAGAATAGAAAGTTACTTTAAAAGGCCATGTTCAAAATGATGTATCTAAAGTTCAATTCCAAATATCACAAGAGGGGGAAAAACCCTATTCAGCCTTTCAGAGTATTTTATAACTGTGCTGCCTTATAACGATCTCTCCTGGGCAGCAGCAGATTACTCAGGTTTTTAAAGAGCTATATATGGCTCCTAAGAGGTCTATCAGAGTGAAACTCAATATTCCATCTTTTCTCTAGCTATGGTATCACATCCTGTATAAGCAGAGAATCCCTGAATTCTGCACAGGTAAAACCTTTCAGATCTCCTACCAAGAGATGCCAAAATTGAACGTCTTAGAAACCCAGCCCCTACAAAGGGAAACGATGGCCAGCCTGCTGCACCTGATCACAAAACATTTTCATTTGGGGAACAGCTTGTATTTTCCCCCCACTATTCCAAATATTTCTGCCATCAGAAGGAATTACAGTCTTCCTACAAGACAGATATCCCCCAGTTCCTGGCCCAGCCAGGGCAAGAGCTGTTACACATACCTCCAAGAGATGTCCATCTCCTACAATCTGTCTTCCTCCTGATCCTCCATAGTTCCCCAGGTCCTAGTGACACATAAAACCTACACACTCTACCCTAAGAGGGAGGCCAGAAAAGTCCAGCCTTCCTGAGATCCTTGCATGAAAAAAGCCTTTCATAAAAAAAGTTTTTGGCTAGATGAGTTTCTGACACACCTTTTGGTCACTTGTGTCTTTGCTAAACAGTCTGCCCTTACATGCAAGTGTTCTTGAAAAATCAAGTCTTTACAGGACCACTGTCAATTACAGACTACAGGTAATAAATCATTGGATTTCTTGACTCTGTGCAAGTAGGACTGGCAAGACTCTCTGCACTCTCACAGCTGGTCTGACCTCTCCAGCATGCAAGTATATTTCTCCCCATGAATTCCTGATAAGAAATAGGGAAGCCTCTACTCCTTACCTATGGATCCGTGGCATCCCCAGACAAGAAACCTTCCAGCAGGGCCTCCTACCAAACTGCAGAAGGTCTACACTACATTATGGTTTCAAAATTAGTTACCCAGAACCAAGCTCAAAGAGCTGCATATAGGAGGATGGACATTACTCTTTCAGCATTACACATGGGGATGATTACATGACCTGCTCTGCGTGTCCAGCTGGAACCAGTATCTCCTAATTCCAGCAGCAAGGTTCACCTATTAAAGTGTATTTTACACAAGAAGAAATGAAACTTCAAGGGTTGATTTAGCATATCTGAAAGAACAGAAATATCAGAAAGAGAGAAGACTAGAATACCAGGTTTCATATGCAAGAGGATTAGAGCCTTTCTCAGCAGCCCCCTGGTTTGGGTCATACATATTTAAGAACTCCACGCAAATGGCAGCCTGGTGCTTTAATTCCCTGGCAAGGCAAGCATGTGGAAAGGACCAGCTCTAATCAGTTTTCTACAGCTGCTGAAAGAAGCATGCCCTGCTAGAGTGACATGCAGTAGAACTGCAGGTTCCACATTGCACACCTGAACAAAAAGCTTCTGCATCTTCTGTGCTGATTTATCAATGGAATCCTTGGATATGGACAGGGTCACTGCATCACTACCAAACATGCTACTGGAGAATCTGCTAAAAAGAAGAAAAGTTACAGCAACAGATAAAGGTAGACCATTCATGAGCAGGGACAAAATCCCTTTAGGCTAGGTTTATTCAGGCAGTTCTGAACCTGCATTCTTGGCTGGAGCCATCTTTACTGTCTCCCTCTGAAGTTAAGCTCATTGTCTCCGCAATCTGGAAGCATCTAAGAGCATGTGTTCCAAGGTGCCAGTCAACCAGAAAAAGAAAGTGATCCTAAGTGAAGATGCAGGGCAGTCACTGACTTTAAAGATCTTTTTTCCACCTGAATTTAAAGATTGGCTTCAAAAACCTGTTTCTGCACATCTGAAGAAGAAATTGCACTAAGGGAAACCACATCATTGTACTTCTCTAGTGGGTTAGCTCAGAGAAGCTGTTGGTGGACAAAACACTTCTTTAAAAGCTTTTAGTATCCATGTCCCACTGGGGAAGGAATGAAGGACAGAGGAAATCAAATAATGTTCACAGATTTGCATCTGAAATCTAATTAAGCTAAGAAACTGCCATTAAGGCCAAAACATCAGGCAGGTAGCCCAGCTCTTCAGGACAAAGAGAAACCAGTTTCAGTAGCTTTACAGTCTCACGACTTTCTTCCTGCAGTAGTAGAACTATGTATCCTTCATAAACATGAATAATATTCTGTCCTATATATGCTTTATAAAAGCACCTCAGAAAAGGAAAGCTTACTGCAGTGGTCAGGAGTGAACATAAAGTTTATTTCTCATCGTTGTTAAGTGGCTATAAACTGCATAACATGCAGACAATGATTAATCCACGTGGTGGTCTTCATTTTGGGATGACAAAATGCCTCAAAAGGAGAATTCTTTTACTTACTAAACTTTCAGTGCTCCAATCAAAGTTACTTATTTTTCAGGCTCCGTTGATACATGACATTACTTCAAGCTATTACATTGCACAGCTGGTTGCTTTGGGCACTGTACTCAGAGGTGGCACAGGGAGAACTTAACCAGGCTCATGACCAAAATATTAGCATCAGAGAAAGATACTGCCTTTTAAAAAACATTTCCCCTCACCCAGGAAAATAGAAATAAGGTTTATTGAGAAGATGGGGCAGACCGGGCTGATGTGGCGCAAGGCACAGCCAGGCAGGTGTACTGACCAGCCCCATTTAAATGGGACTAGCCCCTTTTACCCCTTATTCTTCTATTCTCCAAAACTGGTTTCCTCCAAAGCACCTTGAAGCATCCCTTTCCTCCCCTAAACATCCCATAATAAGTCTTGTCCCCCCAAAAGCTCACTCTTTGGCATCCTGTAGCAAATCCCAGAGCCCTGACAGCAGTAACGCCCCTCAGTCTGTAAAGGTGATGGACAGGGTCCTCTCCCATGGACTCGTGATGGGTGTCACTCCTGGCCCACGAGCCGATGGCTCCCCCATGACAACCCTCAGAGGAACCGTGGTAGAGGCTTTGTTCCTCCATCTGGGTTTTGGGGCTTTGCCTGCCTGACCTTCTGCCCCTGTGCTCCTTTGCATGGGTGCAGACAAACCTTTTATCTCATCCCTTATTATAAAACCTTACAACCTGAACATTACTTTTAACTTTGTGTTCAGTAATACCATGCCAGCACAGTATTTTAGTTCTAGGGGAAAAAAACCCAGCCTGAACACAAAAGGCAGGATTAAACTATTTTCAGCTTCTTTCAAACACATTCACAAAGAGAATATTGCAATGCAGATGCAATTGGAGACAACTGCCAGAAGTGATGCTCAGCCCCACAGCACAGTCCCACATAAGTGGGCTGGTTGGATGGACCCATCCCCTCTGCCATAAGTATCACTTGGGAGATCAAGCACAGCCCATTCCTCAGTTATGATTCACACAAATGACAAGGACACTTCCTTGCTTGTACCTGGGACTGAGCAATGCTGAGAAAGCTCCCTGCGAGACAAAAGGATCTGTACAAACAGTGACTTCAGGGCCAACAGGATGATTCAAAACAGGAGCTCTGAAAGCCAAAATGACCATCAGTGAGCCAAAAATGAGGATGGTCCCAGGCAAACCCATGCAATGAACTGCTCAGACTGTCTGCAGCCTAGAAGG